TTTCGCTTTCATTATTACAAATCAAATTGCCCTTTGGAAAATATGTGTTACATAGTCCTGTCGGCTACAATTTTTCTATGGTACCCATTTTTCCGAGTGGACAACATGATATATTGACTGGCAGATGCTAAACAAAAATAGACAGCGGCGCACAAAACACAGCCGGCGCGATCATGTATTCTGAACGGTTCCATCTAGCGGACATTTCCCTGTTAAAATTTTCAATGTTTTACACTCTGGCGTGTGCAAAAATAGTCGCTTTATTGCCTGGTTTCTAAGCTGCAAAACTCCTCACTAAAAATTTCACGCAACGATGCATGAAAAGTAAGCGTAAGTGAAAGCTGAACTTGAAATCTTTGGCTCGAACAAGGACGAAGAACAACCTTTCAAAGTTTCAACTCTCTGGTTTTCTGACTTCCGAGTCTGTGATTTTCGCACCAAACTTTCATGTGGTTGTATCTGAAGCCTGGGCAAAGGTGTAAGCTAAGTTAAAGTTTGTGAGGTTCAAGTTAGCAAAATTTCCTTGCCGACATATACACATAGCCGTACTTGAAACCTAGGTGTATGTGAAAACTGAATTTAAAACATTTGGACTAAACGTGAAGGCAGAACATTCTCCTAGAATTAGAGCCTCACAATTTTTTTGGTCCCCGAGCTACTAATTTTCCCACGAAAATTTCACGTGTCCCAAAGTTGAAACCTACGCTCAAGTGAAAGCTGAGTTCAAATTTGTGGGGTCACTTTTCAGTAGGGAAAATTGTTTTAAAATTCCAGGTTATTAGTTACTGTGGTCCCCAAGACAGTAATTTTTCCCGCCAAAACCTCCAGGAGGCCGTGCTTGAGACCCGGTAGTATGTGAAGGCTGGATTTAAATCTGCTGACTCGCACCTAAGGTGAGGAACACTCGCCCAAAATTTCATCTTCATAGCATTTATGGTTCCCGAATTGAAGTGCAGAACAAAATGCACATACACAAACATATACCACAAACACGCACGCATTGGTGACCAATCAGTTAGAAGAGCCACTGAACGCTTAAAAAACACGAGTTTCGAAGTAAAAAGAATGGAAAGACTGCTAGCAGTATCTACGAGGCGAAATACAACGACAGAGCAGTTACCTATCAAACTCATGAAAATTTTTGTCTTCCTCTAGCTATAAATTGCCCTAATAAAAGTAGACACCGTGTGTCTAAGAGTGCGAAATCCTCATTTCTACTGAAACATAGTCATACGTCCGACCTAGCTATATTTAGGTTAAGTTTCGAGTTCGTCACCTCGAGATGTACCTAGTTTCATACATCATCATCTCATCGAGGTGTTCAAGCGGATGTTTCTCTTGTGGTAGTGGCTCCACAGGCTAATCAGCAACACGAACAATGTGTCCCTATGCAGCAGATAGTATTTCGTGTATATTAAAATTTTCATTAATTTTATTCCTAGATAGCAAGCGTGCTTCTACAGCCTAACAGAAACAATACCTGATAAGTCTTATGCGCTTTATCAGCAGTATCAGCGAATACATAGCTCGATGCTACGACATATGACAATCGTACCGCATTTGCCGATACCCAGGCACGAAATGCCTCGCCTATTTCATTCGCATATCCTGCAATTTTCCTTGCACCTTGCACAGCAAGCTTTCAAAACATCTATGAAACTTGTCGAATGTGTTAACAAGCTTTTTCTGTAGCGATATCAAGAAACTGGTGCTGTCCAGGCTGCACACACTTTTCGAGAATGAAAAAATTTCATAGAAAACATGAACTCAGAAGAAATGAAGTCTGACAAAAGATATATGTTACAATTTTCTTATTACACACTGCGTATTGAGGAGTCACAGCTGTGAGGAAGCAAACGAATCGCCAGCCTTTCGCTAAGATATAGGTAAGCTGAAGAAGTGGCCGAAACAAACAGTAGACATGCAAGTACGGGAAATATCTCAAGTGGCTGTGCATGGAGCACTGGCGATACATACATCGGGATTTTACAAAGACGGCCCTAGCGATGCTTGAACAGAAGAAACTCACCGAGCAGCCTCACAGGAGTATCTCGAAAGATATCCACTTTGTGCAAATCTTTTTGTGCCTCATCATGCAAATTTTTTTCTTCCAACAGTGATGCCATTCCGCTGAAGGTCAAAGAAGAAACGCGAAATGGATAGCAGTACTCGATTCTGCAGAAGCGCCAGCTGCGTCCCGTTCGTCTAAATCGACAACCTGCAAATGTGGAAAAATTTACATAATCATATCGGCAGAAACAATTCCCACCTGGCTTTGGTTAAATCTGGTGCTGGATCTTATCCTGCACTCAATTTTTCCCTAGTTCTGCCAAATTCTGTGAGCAAAAGTAGTGATGATATCTCTCAAAAATTGGTAGATTTCCAGTCCTCATCAATAATGATAAGCAATTCTCAACCAAGCAACAAATCATGCGTCCGAGAAATAAACAGCAGATCGCAACCCACTTGGACGGACAAAATGGGAAGCATGACAAGGCAATCCCGTTTTAACAAAGCATCGGCAAAAACAGAAGGACAGAAGTTTATCCTGACGAATCATGCGTTACCACGCGTTAACTTTTCCCGACAGCACTGCTGAATTGCTACAGCCTGTCTGGTAAAACACAGTGCTGCGTTTGTCACTCGCAATGGTTAAATTGTGGTGAACGCATCGGAGACTCTCCTCAGAACTGGTTTCGTGTCGAGTCCCACTCTCGTGCTCTTTCAAAAGGTATTCTTTTACGCGACAAGCTTGGGACGTATCACAGCGGCACTGTGTAGGCCAAAAAAATAAGAAATTGAAAGTGGAAAAGCAAATGTATGTGATTCCAAAGAGGACACTGGTGTAAATGTGAGGTGTACGAGCCCCATCACAACCACGAAAGAATCGTGAACGGAAGCTCACTGGAAATTCCGAAGCCCATTTCTTCGCAGCTCCACCACCGCTCACGTATATGGCTAAATTTTAACTTTGTTGCTAACCAAAATTTAAAGCTAACCTTCCAGAATCGGAATCGAAGTGCCGCACACTCCGCCTAGATACGATGCTAATTAGAACGAAGCAATTCGAATTTCACCGAAAATGTTTCCATAGCGAAGTTCCCTCTTCCTACTCTCAGACAAAACTCGTACTCCAATTTGAAACTGTTTAATCGGGCAAAAACGCGAACATTCCTTGACACTGAAAACCGTGTTATGTTGCTGTGCTATTTGTTTCTTGTCGAAAGCGGATGGACGCCCCTTTCCCGCAGTAAATGCCACTACAGATAAATCATGAGCACTTAAAAACAGTGCAAAATTCCAAAAACTTCCTCGAAAATTAAATTATTTTGGATTTCTGAAAATTCTCCGACTTCTTGACGAGAAAAACAGTGCGTTACGAAGATGCAGTATGTAGCACAGGATGTCGAACAAAACGGTCTACTAAAGCTGAGCGTGACTTATGCATACGGTTGCCCGGGAGTGTCACGCAAGGTCGCTCTTACTGAAAAGGCGCAGCAGTACACCTGACAAAGTACAATGGATATAACCAGATTTTCTAAGCAACATCCACTACGTATTCCTTTACTGGCCATTCGCCCTGCAACATCCACTGAGAAATCGAGAAGAATCAAAAAAAAAAAAAATACAACCAAAGGTCAATTTTTCATGAAAAACAGATATCAAATCTAATCCAACAATAAATATGCGAACACTCTACAATAAAACAAACCGCAACAAAATATATATGCATAAAATTCATATAAACACATGTTCATAATACATACATACATACATACATACATACATACATACATACATACATACATACATACATACAT